TATAACAACAATTGCTTGGGAAACGCTTGTTAAAAACATAACTCTGCCCGAAGGAAGAATCCTTTTTACACACACACACACACACACACACACACACACACACAAAAACACCGAGGGGAAGGGAATAACTAATGGCTCTGCTCTCTTAATGTGCTCTCCCTGCCCCCTAGCATAGCAACAAAGGCCCTTCCAGTGATTATGTCTTTTTACAAGCTTGGATTGGCTTCAGTTTTAAACTAAATCTGGGCATGGTATGGACTAGGCTATGGATCCTGATTTTTATTTTTTTATTTTTTTGGCGTTGGGTTCTTCTTCTGAAAACCCTTATTTTTCTCATTTGTTAGGCCTGGGTTTCCCAAACTTGGGTCTTCAGCTGCTTTTGGACTGCAACTCCTGTCATCCCTAGCTAGCAGGGCCAGTGGTCAGGGATAATGGGAACTGTAGTAAAAAAAGCTGCTGATGTCTCAAGTTTGGGAAACTCAGAGGTGGCAACAGATCCCCAAATTCAGGATGCTGGGTGCAGGGGCTGGGCTGTAGTTAAGTACAGTGTTTCTGTACTTATTCAAAGCTTTATTTTCATTCTGAAAACGGGGTGAACAACTAGGGGTTAAAATCTATCTGGAACCTATCGTGCTTTCTGGAAATCCTTCCCTCGGATCATGTATATTTGCGGAGGTTGTCTAGTGAGGGAAAGGCTCATGTTCAGAGGCATCCCTCAGCTAGCATAGAAGAATGCATGATTTGAGAATCAGTGAGTTGGCTGAAAACAAGTTTGAAGACTTTACAGTCCCTGCTGCTCCCTGTTCTAAATGCTGGTAACCAGACTCTGGTAACTCAGTGGTGATAAAAATGTTTGTAGGCAGGTTATGCTTAGTCATGGTGAGAGGGGGGAACACTACGAGTGTTGTTATCTTTTCTATCACCTTTTAAATTCTGAGGCATTTGAAGAAAGCTAAGCCCTGGTGAGCTGAGCCATGACTTGAGTTTGCAGCATGATTTCCAGGACAATTTACCCAGATATTATTAAGTCCAGTTCTTGGTGCTTTCCTGCCTACGAGGGTGGCCGAATGCCCTGTTTTATAGGGGGAAGTCCTCTCTTTGAAGGGCTGCCCATTCCAAGTACAGTTTAAAGATAAAGAACCCTAAGAAAAGCTCAGTCAGTAGAGCATGAGACTCTTAATCTCAGGTTGTGGGTTCGAGCCCCATGTTGGGCAAAATAGTCCCACGCTGCAGGGTGTGGGACTAGATTATCCTTGTGGTCCCTTCCAGGCGTGCACACATGGCATGTAATCACAGGATCCCCCACTATGGTGAGAAGTATTTCTATTCACCGTATTTTTCGCTCTATAAGACGCACCTTTTCCCTCCAAAAAGTAAAATCTGTGTGCGTCTTATGGAGCAAATGCAGGCTGCGCACCTATCCCAGAAGCCAGAACTGTGAGAATTTGCTGTTCTAGCTTCTGGCTTAGCCGCGCTCTGTCCCTTCCCCCACCTCCCACAAAAGCCAGCAAAAGCCGCACTCCCTTTAAAGAGCCGCGTGGAGCATGTGTGGGGCTCTTGGGGGCTTTTCCCCAAGGAGGGAGAAGGGCAACCCCTTAGTGATGGGCTGCCCTTCTCCTTCCTGGGGGAAAAGCCTGCAAGCGCCGCACACACGCTTCACGCAGCTCGTGAACGGGAGCGCTGAGCAGAGCCTGGGATGCATACAGGCTCTGCTCAACGCTCCCTTTAAAGAATTTCCCTCCCTCACATTCCCCCTCTAAAAACTAGGTGCGTCTTATGGAGCGAAAAATACGGTAAGTTATAGTTGTCATTTCTAAATTTGTGTGTATACATATAAAGGAGCATGAGTCATTTTTATGCAAATCTGCACCCTTTCTTGTCCTCTTTTTTGTTCTTTTGGCGATGCTCATGCAGTCACTCTCCTGCCCATGGGTTTTCAGCATGCTTTTGAAACTGAACTAGCGCACTGGACACTCACAATCCACATGGAAACAGCAGCACCCAGAGTGACCGCTGGTTAACAACAGTAGCCAGTCCCCATGTGCAGACTCCCTTTCTCTCCTTTTCCTATTTCTTGTGACATTTGCTGAGGAACTGCTTTCGCTGTAGGAGAACGGCACAAGGCCAAAAGTGCGGTGTCAAAATAGCCTCGGGCCCCAGAAAACAGCCATGACCCAAATCGTCCAAGACGAGGTACGTGTGTGTGTGTGCAAGTAAATCTCAACAAACTCAGCGATGTGGATAAGCTCGGTAGCCCAAACCTTCCGGAAAAGCTGAGGATTAAATGTGAACGCGGGTGGCGTCGGTGTACCCGAGCAGGAGAAGGCAACTTAGCCAGCCCCAAATTAGTAGGCCGACATTTCCCTTCTGGGCGCGAAGGAGGAGATCCCACAAAGCAGCTGGCTCGTGGCTGGATCCGCCGTGTGCGTTTCGTGCAACACGCTGTCCATTGAGCGATTGCCAAATGCCGAAGACACCTGCTGCTTTCCCACACCCACTTCTCTCTCTCTCTCTCTCTCTCTCTCGCCCGCCACTCTCTTCGCCTCGGGGGAAAGCTCAGGCAGGGGGAGGCGGGAGCAGTTCCCAGAAGCCAGTGAAGCAGGCCGAGCCAGGATTCCAAAGAGATGGCCCAATTGTGTGGGGCAGAGAAGAGGGTGTGTTGTACACCTGTCTCCTTTGCAACCCGGGCCTTACACATTTCGATTTGATTGGATTTGCACTTCTCTCGTGTTGTGCATTCCGCCTGCTGTTGCCTGTGATTTTAACTGAAATCTTAACATTTTTTAAAAAATACAGAACTGTCGTCGCTTGTCAGGAAAATCCCCTCTCAATTTCTCCCCACGGTATTTTTAGGGTGTTAATCAGAGCTGGAAGGGAACACAACCTAGTCCAATCCCCTGCAATGCCAGAATCTTTTGCTCAACATGGGGCTCAAACTTACGGCCCTGAGATTAAGCGTCTCATTCCCTACCTACTGAACTTTCCCAGCTGTCTCTCCTCTGGTGGAAGAGGCAGATCTGAATGTATGGAGCCGAGTGTTTGGTGGCTGAGGAAGCAGGTTGTTTTCTTGCTGACTCCACCCTCCCCCATCCGAAAACCCTATTTTAAAAATGAAACGGCTTGTGTTTTGTATTAAGGATTATTGCAATTACTTTCCTACCCCACCCTAGCCCGAGATCGGTGAAGCCCTTGAGCAAATAATAACAAGAACTGGATTTCCCCGCTAGCTGAAGTGTAATGAAATTAAAAGGAAGGGATTTTTAGGGAGGGAAGTAAATACGAAACAAGAAGGGTGAAAGGGTTATATATCTCAGCCTGGAGTCTTGAAACCTCAAAACTCAGGTTTCTGTTCATAGCTGGAGGTACTGGTGGTCCTGTTGCCAACTTTTGCTGACTTTTGCTGACTGCTGGAGACCCTCAATCGCTCCTGGGGTCCCTCCAGGTTTAGGGACCCTGAAGTTTCATAGCAGATCCACCCCTGCTTCTAGCCCAGATTACTGAGCTGCTGCTATTGCCTTGGCATAGTATGTGGTTACAGCCAAGGGCATTCAAGGTGCCCTCCCTGGCTTTATTGGACAGAAACAGACAGCTGGGTTAAATTTCCTCACATCCTTCAGTTCCTTATGCTAGGACTTTGGTTTGTGTTTTTTTAAGGAAAAACCATTCTGCCTGCCTCACAAATCTTGTTTCTTAATCCTAAATGTGTGAGGTCAGTATGTGGTTACTTGGTGGTGAAAGGAAAGGCACTTTGCACATGCTCAGAGGCGTTTTTCTTATAACTGGCATTCCTTATTTTGGGTACTGGTGCTGAAAGTAGATTCCAGGGCTCAGCCTTGGCACAAGTGAAGCCCTTTCTATTCCCCAAGAAGAACTGCACGCTGGCCAACCCATCACCCATATTAGGGTTTTCTGTCTTTCACCACCTCCTGCTTTTTATTCTGGATTTGGCCAGTGAGACAAGGAGACAAAGAAGCCACCAGCTGCTTTTGCTTGCTGGACTGAGACTTGAAGCCTGACAAACAAACAAAAGCCAGCCAAGCCATCTGTAAATCTTGTGACTCTGGGAAGCTTACCCTCTCACATCATTTCCCACAGTTTGTGGGAAGAGCAGAGGTCTGGAAATTCTACAATAAAAGATTTATCAGGAGCCGGCCTAGTACCCTTTCCCCAAACCAAAGGCTATTGAGTACCATATTTTTTGCTCTATAAGACTCACTTTTTCCCTCCTAAAAAGTAAGGGGAAATGTGTGTGCGTCTTATGGGGTGAATGCAGGCTGCGCAGCTATCCCAGAAGCCAGAACAGCAAGAGGGATTGCTGCTTTCACTGCACAGCGATCCCTCTTGCTGTTCTGACTTCTGAAATTCAGAATATTTCTTTTCTTGTTTTCCTCCTCCAAAAACTAGGTGCGCCTTGTGGTCTGGTGCGTCTTATAGAGCGAAAAATACGGTAACTGGTTTTGTAGGTAGCCACAGCACCCTTCACTCTCCCCCTTCCACCATGACTCTGTGAGAAATTGTAGCTGAGGGGCAAAAGGAAGATGCTGGGGGAGATATGAAAACCCCTTTATTGACTGAGGAGAATGAAGGGCTTTGTTAGAAAAAATCCTGAAATCTCCCCTCACCTAGACTGTTAATGTGGGGCTATATACGGTACATACTGTATTACAGTTGATTGGTTTGAGATGTGTGTAGCAATTATTTATCAACAGGGAAAACGCAGGGACTAGAAACAAACAAACACGGCACAAAAGGAAGTCTGGATGAGAGCGCTAGGTCATGGGTAGGCAAACTAAGGCCCAGGGGCCAGATCTGGCCCAATCGCCTTCTCAATCTGGCCCGCGTGCAGTCTGGGAATCAGCATGTTTTTACATGAGTAGAATGTGCCCTTTTATTTAAAATACACCTCTGAGTTATTTGTGGGGCATAGGAATTCGTTCATATATTTTTTACAAATTATAGTCCAGCCCACCCCAAGATCTGAGGGACAGTGGTCCGGCTGCCTGCTGAAAAAGTTTGCTGACCCCTGCCCTAGGTGGACCAGAATGCCCCAAATTTGGTCTAATGCCTTTTGCCACACTCTGTGTCGAGTGGGCAAGTTACTAGAGAGCTGAGCAGCTTAGAAGCACCCATATGATCTACTACATCATGGGATCAGTAGTGGAGCAAACTGTTTTGTAGGACCTCGTTCTCTTCCCCCCACCCCCAAGTGTGCTAAAGTAGAGCAGTTCTAGGGATGCAGAAAAAAGCTATGACACTATTATGACAAAACCAGAATATTCTGTTTTTACGTCTGGAAATATTATTGAGGGTTAGTTGTTGTTCCAAATGAAAATAAAGGCTGAGCACACACCGAATATTGAAAACGCATGACTGCGCCCTGTCTCACCCCACAAAGAACATTGGGAAATGCAGTTTGCTAAGGGTGCTGGGGGGGGGGCATTGCAGCTTTTTGAGGGATAAGCTACAGTTCCCAGGATTCTTTGGGGTGGAGAGTTGTGTGCTTTAACTAAATGGTGTGTATATGGCCTAAAAGTCTCCGGGTTAGCAGAACTACAGCTGTTGCTTTGGTAACAACGATCCCCTCCCTGACCTGTTCCAGCCCAGCTTTTGTTTCTTTCTTGACTTGGCCAGGAGGCAGAAGGCATGTGTTTGTGGAGAGGCAGAGGAGAGAGAGGTATGTAACATCAGGTAATCAAGCTGTGCCATTAAGTCATAATTAGAGGATGTCTTTTTAATGAGGGCTAGCGATTGCCTTTAAAAAAATATATCAAAAGCTGTAAAATCTCAGGATGTACAGCTCTGGGACGGTTGCTATAGCAACCACCAAATCCTCCCTCACCTGTCCCAGGCATCCGAGGCCTCTTGTATGTCTTGACTTGACTGAACCAGGAAGAGGAGTGCAGTACAAAAATGTAATATTAATAAATCTCCCTTGGCAAATGTGTGTGTGGGTGCGTGTTAGAACTGCAGAGAGCTGCTTCTTTTCTCGTCAATGGGATATTCTCGGTAAATCAGGAGCCTTTTGGCTGGTTGGTTCCTGTGAGTTTCATAATGGACTTGGAATTCATGGTGGGGGTACTTGCAAAATGGGACTTACTACTTTCTAGGAGTTCGTAGCTGCTCCCTAGGCAGTGGGGTGGGATGTGCTGCTTAAAGACCGAGAGGAAAAGTTGGAAGTGAATTACATTGTTTTTTTAGGAATAAGTTTGGAGTGCTGGAGACCATCCAAGAAATATTCCATACTTTTAAAGGCCTTTTTAGGCACCTAGCCCCTCCCAAGGGATGCGGGTGGTGCTGTGGGTTAAACCACAGAGCCTAGGACTTGCCAATCAGAAGGTTGGCGGTTCGAATCCCCGCGACGGGGTGAGTTCCTGTTGCTCGGTCCCTGCTCCTGCCAACCTAGCAATTCGAAAGCACGTCAAAGTGCAAGTAGATAAATAGGTACCGCTCCAGCGGGAAGGTAAATGGTGTTTCCGTGCGCTGCTCTGGTTCGCCAGAAGCGGCTTAGTCATGCTGGCCACATGACCTGGAAGCTGTATGCCGGCTCCCTCGGCCAATAAAGCGAGATGAGCGCCGCAACCCCAGAGTCAGCCACAACTGGACCTAATGGTCAGGGGTCCCTTTACCTTTAGCCCCTCCCAAACATCTCTGTAGCTTGCAACTCAGGTGAAGAGTAGAGGGGCAGTGGACATCTCCCCCCTCCCCACATTAATCCATCCTTAGCTTAACAACCTTAACTATTCTCACATTATGTAGGCTGATAGAGTATTAATTTAAACGGGGGTGGGGGGTGGATTCTGTTGCAGACTGGGTGGGAGTGTGTTGTACTTGTGCATCTTCGAGCAAGGGAGCTGAAAACCAGAGTGAGAGGTGGTCCCATCATGAAGCTACTGCAGTTGGTAGATTCTGGATGCCATTAAGGCTAGCAGAGAGAAAATACAAACAGAACTGACCTTTGGTGGCGTATCTCATTCATTTCAATTAGGTTTGTGCAGGAGAACTTTCTGGTAGATTGTGCCTCCTATTCATTAATACAGAATGCTGGGTTGTGGTGGTTTGTCTCAAGTACCAATATGACTTGGGGTAGTTGATCTTCCTCCTCCCAGTAGCAAATACATGTAGGATTTAAATTTCACACCAGTTCATTACTTCGCATATATTTCTAAATGCAGGTTCCTGTTTGGGTGATGGAAGTTTCTGTATACAGCAAATTCAAAATATGAGCATTGGAATGGAAATTTTGGCCCCGTCCTACGCAAATATTGGAATACATTACTAGTGTTGCTTAACAAATCACTCACACTCACACCCCATACCCCCAAATCATCAGCATATCTGTATTTTCCATGAAGGGAAAACTAGCAAAGCTTGTCCTTATAATATTTTTGCTATTTGGGAAACCAAATGTTATATCTGAGTTTCAAAAAACGTATCTTTCTCAGGTTTTGGCCCCAAGTTCAAATCACCAAAAAGTGGGCATTGGCTCTTTCAACTAGAGACTTGGAAAATACAGATAATTTCCCAAGAGGTAACTTACCATGGTAAGCATGCAGCTAATTGGGGGAGAAATCAGAAATTTAGGAACCAGAGAGAGAAGGGGGCTTGCTAACTTGCACGTTACGCAATGGGGTAACGTGCTTGATTTTGGAAAGCTAAAAGCAGAAAAGGCATTCCTGGTAGGCACATGTGTGTGTATGCACAGTGACACACAGTAAGTCCCACTAAGCTCACTGAGGCTTATTTTTGGGTAGGTGCATAGAATTGCAGCCTTGAAACTCAAATACCCCATTTTTAAAACTTTGGACCTGCAATATCCTTACAGTGTGTGTGCATGTGTGTTTTGCTATGAATACTGTGACATACAGAGATGGATTTATTTGGGAGAATTACCCCCAAATAACTACAGGAAGCAAGGCCCTCTCTGTCTTGATGGAGTTCGTTGGTTTGTTATCTGGCGCAGCAAAAGTAAAGTTCTGCAGCTTGAAGAAGAAGAAGAAGAAGAAGAAGAAGAAGAAGAAGAAGAAGAAGAAGAAGAAGAAGAAGAAAGAGGAGGAGGAGGAGGAAAAATGACTAATTTCAGTATGCATGATTGCCTGATGCTGGGAATGAAAGATGTGAGATGTTGGCTTACTTTCACCTGGGTGTACTATTGTTCCTGGTAATGGCAAAAAGCAACACATGATCTGTCCCTCTGTTTGATTTCTCTCTTCTCCTTCAGCGTCCCCTTCCCATTCCCTTCATTCCTCTTCCAGTACGGTTTCTTACACATTGGGGGATATGCGCTAGGATTTGTCTAGCTGTGAAGTAAATTGGGGTGAGGACTTGTGGGGTTCTGCATTTTGTACCCTAATAAAAGAGTGTGTTTTCTACCCTACTTCTGTCTGTCTGCTTCAGCAGAAGGGCAGCAAACTGAGAGTATGTGGGCAAAGGGGGAACAGGCAGCAGTGGGTTTAGCCTTTTCCAATGTTTAATGCCTAAAAAGAGGTACTGGGAGGCAAGCGAGCTAAGCTCAATATCATGCCCTCTGAATTGGTAGTGTTACTTTCCTAATACCCAGTGTGAATGGTCTGTCTAGGGTTACTCAGTGGCAAAGAGTAACTAACACACCTGCCTTTTTATCAGTCCTTTAGATGGAAATCACAGGGCTCAAGCAACGATGGATAACAGCTCACCAAGTCCCTAAAGCTTTGATACCTAAAACCATCACCGCTTATTGCTACCCTGAAACCATCTCCAAAATAATATATCTCTAAAATATAACATAGGGACGTGGGTGGCGCTGTGAGTTAAACCACAGAGCCTAGGACTTGCTGATCAGAAGGTCTGTGGTTCGAATCCCCGCAACAGGGTGAGCTCCCGTTGCTCGGTCCCTGCACCTGCCAACCTAGCAGTTCAAAAGCATGTCAAAGTGCAAGTAGATAAATAGGTACCGCTCCGGCGGGAAGGTAAACGGCCTTTCCATGTGCTGCTCTGGTTCGCCAGAAGCGGCTTAGTCATGCTGGCTACATCAGAAGCTGTAGGCCAGCTCCCGCGGCCAGTAAAGCGAGATGAGCGCCGCAACCCCAGAGTTGGCCACGACTGGACCTAATGGTCAGGGGTCCCTTTACCTTTATCTTTAAAATATAACATATAAAACCAAAAAGGTGTAGAAACCTTGAAACCCAGTGCATGCATTGTAAACTGCTGAAACCATTGCTGCTTGCTGACATTATTAACAAACATAAGTTGATTTACTTGCACAAGAGTAGAGTACATGCAAGGAGCTCTGCTTGGAAACTTCAGTTCTTACAAAACCTTGCTTGATTTTTATCCTAATTTGCTAATAACGTTGTTAAAGAAACCACAATGAAGACATACAGTGCTTTTACAACACGCTGCATTAAAAGGCAACCCACAAGGTATTAGGCACTTCAGAGAAGGGAAGCAGTGCTTGGTGGATTAAAAAAAGAAGCCAGGATTAGGGAGCGGAGGAACAAAATTTAGTTCAGATTTGGAGACAAATCTATCAAATTTTCAATTTACAAACAATACACAAACTGAAACACAGCCATCCTTTGTATTTGCTCTACTACGGATTTTGCTGTGCTATTCTTCAGCTGAGCAATGTGTACAAAAATGTACACTATAGGATAAAGTGTGCAGGGAAATGCATATATTCATAAAAATAGCATACAAAATACATTATATCTGGGCAATGTGCATACAAAACGTGCATACAAAAATGTGTGCCTTAGGAGAAATTTGCGCTAAAATGCTGGCAGTCTCCCCCCCCCCATGTCTACTTTTTTGTATACAGTGGTACCTCAGGTTACAGACGCTTCAGGTTACAGACTCCGCTAACCCAGAAATAGTACCTCGGGTTAAGAACTTTGCTTCAGGATGAGAACAGAAATCATGCGGCGGCAATGGGAGGCCCCATTAGCTAAAGAACAGTTTCAGGTTAAGAATGGACCTCCAGAATGAATTAAGTTCTTAACCTCAGGTACCACTGTATATAAAAAAGAGAAGCAAATTGATGTGAATAAAATATTGGAAAAATCAGAAACTGGGGGGAGGGGGGGGAGAGACAGGTTCGCCCATCCCTAATAAGGATGCAGAAGACATATGCCAGGAACTGATTGTTGCCCAGATATTGTTGGGTGACAACTCCCATCATCCCTCAATCATCTGTCATGCTGGCTGGGGCTATTGGGAGTTGGAGTCCAACCACATTGGAAGGGCCACAGACTCTTCAGCCCTAACTCATGTCCCATGACGCTAAGTCTCAGGTGTCTAGTGACCAGTACCAGTTTACTCTTAATATAGTGCATACCTAATTTATGGAAGTGCTGCCACAAATGGCGATAGTGGCCTCTAGCTTATACGGCTTTAAAGCGGAGATTGGTCAAATTTATAGCAGTCTCCTCCAACCTGGTGCCTTCCAGATGTTCTTCGACTCCAACTCCCATGAGCCTCAGCCATCCTGGCCAATGGTCAAAGGATGATGGGAGTTGTAGTCAGGAAGGCATCAGGCCGGTGAAGGCTGTCATAGAGAATATTATAGCCATCTCCTGGTTTTAGAGGCACCATGCACTGGAATATCAGTTACTAGGAGACAATGGCGGTTGTCATTTATTGCTGTCGTTGTGGGCTTCCCACGGCCATCTGGTTGACCACTGTGGGGATCATAGAAGT